GTCTGTCTTTTTCCTTGAAATATTTGAATATAACTTCATATACTATAGCTTCAAATATTTCCATATCAAGAAGCCTAGAATAAAGCCTTTCCAATTAATAAGTGAAAACTTTATAAGGCTTCAAGGCCACATAATGGGGAATCATGATTACCACATACTTTTATATATTTGAATCATTACTTACATTAGGGAAACTATTCGGTATTCACACATGTGAGATTGATTTATTTCACTTATGAGTATGGTCTCAAGCTGCACCCATTTATTGATAAATATCTCAATATGATCCTTCTTTGTATCTGTGTAATACTCCATTGTATAGAAATACCACGGCAGGGTCTTGAACAGCGCCTTAAGCCACTGCATCACAGGCTTCCCTCATTAGATTTTTTTGTACTTATTTTTTCTTATTTTTGAGTTGTAAGAGCATCTTATAAACTCCAATATCAGTAATTCATTAGATATGTGTTATGACATACTGCTCTAAAGTGTCCAAAGTTCAGGGCATATAAGGACACTTCCAGATAGCTTTTTTTGTTTTGTTTTGTTTTTGATTCCAGGAATCAAACTCAGGACCTCGTGCTTGCCAGGTAGGTGCAGTGCTGCTTAGCTAGGTCCTTGGCTTTCGGATAGCTTTGAGGACATGAGCCAGTGGTCTAGAGGTAAACAATGCATGTACTAGTTATAGTACTATGCAAAATGTAATCATGTAATAACAAGCTATATAAGAGTTAACCAATAAAGATGCAGGTGGCTCTTGCTCTGCTCAACTACCTGCCACCGCTATTGTTTGCTAACATCTGCCTCTGCATGCTTTCTTTGGGAGCCTCACACATGAATTTACCCCTTCAGCCTTCTCAGTCCTGACATGTGTTATCCAAGTGTTTTTTCCTAGAGTGTAGCTTCAATATTTAGCTCTTAATGTCTTAAGAACAAACAGAAATTAAAAACAAAAAAAAAAACCAAAAACAAAAAACACCCGGAGGTCCCTCATCTAGTACCTAACGCAGTTCAGTTTACCAGTTTTTCTCTCTCATGGTTTGTGTTCTGTATTCAGGAATTCTGTGCCTTCCCAAGGTCACAGAGATTATTTTATCCCTTAGAAATTACATAGTTGTAGATTTTGTTATTTTGTGCTAGTTTAAAAAGTAAGGTTCAAGATAGGGACTGAGTTACGTTTTTCCCTGTGGGCGTATACTTTGTATGTTGCTGAAGAGACTGTTCTTATGGATTGCCTTCTCAGTTTGCTGCATGTAGTCCATGCCCAGGTGTTATTCCAGACTCTGTATCCATGCTCTATGTTCTAATACTTCTACTAGCACACACTTACTGTAGCTCTGCAGTAGGTCTGAACCTTAATTAGGAAGAGTGCTTCAGTGTCAGTGTTCTCTCTCAAAATGCTTTTTTCTGTCCTAAATCCTTTGCTTTTGTATGTACATTTTAGAATCAGATATCAATTTCCACAAAAAAGAATGCTGAGATTTTGATTGAGTTGCATTGTATTTATAGTAGTCCAACTTGGGGAAGATTAGTTGCCTTTTTGATTTTATTTCTATTTTACTTTGTTCATATTAAGGTATTACCCACATATCATAAAATTCACCACTTTAAAGGTATACAATTTGGTGATGTTAGTATAGTCCCTGGTTTGTGAAGTCATTATCAATATCTAATTCCAGAACTTTTTTCATTGTCCTTGAAAGTACTCACTAGCAGTTACGCCTTGTTCTTCTTTCTCTGAGACCCTGGCAACAGGGACTAATCACTTCCTGTGTCAATTCTCCTATTCTATCCTGGATGTTTCATATTAATAGAACCATACATTATGAAACTTTTTTTCCTGCCCCCCTGGTTTTTTTTTTTTGTGTTTTTTTTTTTTTTTTTTTGTACTGGGAATCAAACTTGGCCTTGCACTTGTCAGGTTGGCACTGCACCACTAAGCCAAACCCCTGGCCTTGTGTCTGACCTCTTTCACTCAGCGTATTTCCAAAGTTTATGCATATTGTAGCATGTCAGTACAACCATTTTATGACTATATTCCATTGTATGGATATACCTACTATAGTGATGGACATTTAGATTATTTTCATTATTTGGCTATTATGAATACTGTTTTTATGAATGTTTCAGACAAATTTTTATATGAATATGTTTTAATTTATCTGACGTTCATACCTAGGAGTGAAATTGTGGTGTCATATCAAAACTGCATGTTTAACTTTTTGAGAAAGTGCCAACTGTTTTCCAAAAACACTGTGTCATTCGATGATCTGTAAGTGTTCAGTCTCACATCTATGCCAGTGCTTCTTATCTTCTGGGTTTTGTTGTTGGTGGGTTTTTGTATTATAACCATTCTTATGAGTAGGAATTAGTATTGATTAACATTTCTCTAATCACTAGTAATATCAAACATATGTTTATTGGCCATTTGTATATCTCCTTTGAGGAAATGTCTACTCATATTTCTTCTTTATTTTTTAATTGACCTGTTTGCCTTTATATTATAGAGTTATAAGGACTTATTATACATTACAGATACCAACCTTTATAAAAAATAAGATTGATGTGAATTTTGTTCATTGGGTTGTCTTTTCACACTGTTGGTATCATTCGACATTCAAAATTTTAATTTTGATGAGGTTCAGTTTAGTCGGGTTATTGTTTGCTGCTTGTGCAAAGATCCATGTCTTATTAGTATATATAAATACAGGTGATTTTTTCTATCATTCTTGCAATTTGATTAAACTTATTAGCTCTCATTCTCTTTTGATTTCAATCTGTATGCTCTTTTATTTCTTTTACTTCCTTTATAGTACTTAGTAGGATAGCATACGATGTTGATTAGAGACGGTGAGACTGGCCTAACTTGCCTTATTTTTGCCTTTATATGGTAGAGGAAAATCATTATTTTTCTCTTAAGTATAGCCATATTTTTAGGTATTTCACAGATGTGTTTTATGAGGTTAAGGAATTTGCTGAGAATTTTATTGTGAGTGCTTTTTGGGTTTTGTCAAATGTTTTACCTATAATTTTACCAAATACTTTATTTTTAAAATGCTTATTAGAATAAAATATTATGGATTTAAAATTTTTAAATCTATAAAATGGTCAACTATGTTCATTTTTGCTTGTTGAATTAACATTGCTGAGTTAAATCCTACCTGGCTATATGTCTGTCTCATTAAAGGGATTTTGCTGAGGAATTCTGCACTTACAGTCAGGAGGAATTTTGGTTCATAGTCTTCTTTCCTTGAAATGACTTTATGTACTTCTGCTGTTTTAAGTAAAACAAGGTAGTTTTGACTTTGTAAAGCAAGTTTGGAAGTATTTTCTTTTTTCCTAGACCTGGGAAGGGTTTGTGTAGACTTGGTGTTCTGTTTTCACTATTAGAATTTGCCATCACAGCCCTTTGGGCCTGTGGTTTTCCTTTCTGGAGTTTTAAAATATAAATTTAACTTTGTTAGTGGTAACCAAAAATTTCTTTATAGAGATCCAAATTTCATATAATCCTTACCAAACAACTTCCATTTTGTGTCTGTCAGATATTGTTTTACTCTTCTTTTGAAGCATCAATTATTATGTCAGGCATTCCTACCCTGTGCTGGGACAAATGTCAAAGGATTTGTGGACATATATTACACCATTTCACTCTTTTTTTTTTTGGTCTTTTTGAGACAGAGTTTGACTGTGCAGTTTAGGCTGGCCTTGAACTCACTTTGTAGCCCAGGGTGGCCTTGGATTCTCAGAAATGCTCCTGCCTCAGCCTCCCCAGTGCTAGGATTACAGGTGTGCACCACAATGCCTGGCCTACCACTTCACTTGTGTTAAGAGAATTATTAGATTTTCTCATCGTCAGTGAGAGGAAGGGGCCATGTGGTCCATCCCTACTTTGGCCTTTTAGATAAACCAGCCACAAACTTTCAAAGGCCATTCATGAGCATTGGCTTTTGTCTCATAACTTTTGTGATTACTTTCATTAACTCTTCTTTTATGGTACATATTTTTCTAAGTGATGTAAAAAGACACTGTGTGTCTCACTTCTTTAATGCCTGCACCCTGCAGGGCTTCTGTGACCAAGGCTCAGCTGCCCACAGCACACAATATGGCCTCTCCTACTGTGTCTTGCAGGACTGCTCCCATGGTAGCCTATCTTGGAGCAATCCTGCAGGGCTGAGTTTTTGTGTTCCCTGTGAGTGCTATGACACATCCCTGTTAGCCTTTAAAGGACTCATGGGATGACATTCTTTTTCGGCATTCATTTTTTCCTGTCTATGCTCTGACCATATGCGTGGCACTGGGAGGTGCTGGGTAAAGTGTTGCCACAGCTCCTGGCCTGGGGAGCACCTGGCCTCCTGGAGAGAGCAGGCTCTGTGACTATTTACCTACACTCACACATGGTGTAATGAATGCTTGTGGAAGTACCATGAGAATGGAGGTGCCTCTGCATGAGTTTTTTTTTTTTTTTTTCCTTTCATTTTTCTTCCTCTTTCATTTATTCCTCTAAATTCTGCACGGAGGAATTTCAAAACATGAATGGGTAGAAGGCAAAATTACCTCAAGAATTTGTGTTGAATGCCTGTGAATGAGAAAAGGGTGCACTCAGACAGGAGCCCAGACAAGGAGGCAGGGTGCAGGGGTGGCACCCATTTGCAGGTCTCCAGCATCTGGATGTGGCCTGATGTGCCAGCCAGCGTGAGCATGCAGGGCAGGTGTGTTGGACCCAGCACCTAGGTCTCTTGGTGGCTTTGGCAGGGCACTTTCTTCTTTGCTTGGCTCCTGTTGATTTGGTTCTGTCTTGCTCAGGATTTATTCGGTAATATTTAGGCTTGGTTTTGTCTGCATTAAATAATTAGCTTCTAATAACACAATGTGTTTAATGCAGCATGGCTTTTGATATTGAGATAACTGAAGAAAAACAATTTTATTGTTGGTAATGTAAAATGTGTGGCTGTTAAGCCCTCCCACACTTTTCCCACTGAGACTGTTGCTTTTGTGATCAGTTTTAGGAGCCCCACACTTGTGCCACCTCAGACCATACTGGCTCTCCACAGGTCTCCTGCCACGTTTGGGTACCAGCTGCTCTGACCCTGGCTCTAAGGTATCAGTTAACCTCTCTGCCTTGCATGAAACCCTCTCCAAAACCTGGGGAGTCATCCAGGAGGGGGAGGTAGATGTGGTTAGAAGTGCACAGGGACTGTGCACTGGAACCAACCAACTCCAGGGTGTTTTCATGCTTTTAATTTAAATAAAATCATGGAATGTAAAAAATAGCTTTAGAATAGTGGCATTCTGGTAAAAGAGTGGTGTCATCGTCTGTGTTTGCTAAGTGATAACTGCAAGTGTGGAGACAGATATGGCTTCCTGGGAGCTGGGGCTCCTGCCAGAGAAGCTTTGCTCCTGGAGGAAGAAGTGTGATAGCTCAGCCCAGTGCCTGGGACAGAGGCCTTGAAGGATGGAGCCAGGCAGGAAGTGCTGGTCATCGAGGCCAGTGTGAGCCACAGAGTGGACAGGTAGTGAGTGGGTCCACATGGAGAGAGGGCAGGTGCCCAGAATGACACACAGTACTGGATCTGCAAGCAGTGGGCGTGGACTTGTGTGACAGCATGGGGCCGTCAGTGTAGTGCACAGCTGCTGCTTAGAAATGAGGCCTCTGGGGCAGGTGAGGGCCATGGTGCATATTCTGGGTAGGTGGCTGTTTTAATTTCTTTTCTCTCCTTGCTGAGAACAAATACCCAACCCCAAAGTTAAGGGAAAGGTTTATTTGACTCAGTTTGCACAGGTTTCAGTCCACAGTTGACTGGCTCCAAGGCAGGGTAGCACTTGGCGAAAGGACAATCATTTGTGGTGGCAGAAGACAGTAAAAGCAAGCAAGCAAGGGAGAAAAACAAGCCTTTTTCTGCCCTTTCATTTTGTTCAGACTGCTGGGATTAGGGCAGTGCCAATCCAATGAGTGGACTGATCCAGCAGTCACCCACCCTTAGTCCCAGCATCACAGACTCTAGATTCAGTTACCTCCAAAAAGCTTGCCCACCATTATTACTGCATGAGGCTTTGGAAGGACATCTAGACACAAACTATATCTGTAGAGAAGCAAGGCAGAAGCCTCATATGGGATGGGGAGGTGGCATCTTGCCAATGCAGTGACCTGCCAGTGTTGCTCCTCCCAGAAGCATCACTTGCACCTCCACACTGCGGGAGCCTTTGGTAGGCTGCACAGATAAGATGTTCAGAGTTTTTGTTTTAGAAAAATTCTACAGCTTACAAAAAAGAACACAAATAGAGAAGATACTCAGATCAAAGCATATCAGCAATTGCTTTGAACGCCATGCCTGTGCCTCTGCCAGTATTACTGCTGCAGTGCTCCTGGAACTGGTGTGGGGCTCTCTATCATCTGTCCTTCAGGGCTCCCGTAGGCATCCATAGTCCTAGGGCTGCCAAGGCTTTTGTCACATGAGGACTTCTCTCCAATCTTGGATTCCAAGGGGTGCTGGGACTTCCCCCTGACGTGGGGATAACTTCTCCAACAAAGAAGCAAGGACATTGCTGGGTAGAGAAAATGGAAGAAACTGTTTTTCCTAAGTGGGTGATTCTCTCCCTTCATGTTCCAGGAAAGGAAAGGGCTCGGCTCATGCTCATCTGAGACCATGTGTCCCAGTGGGAATACCCTGGAGCAGGAGCAGGTGGTGACATTGCCAAGAAGGATGTTGGTGCAGACCATCATGCCTTTTGAGTTTGGAAATCTCATGGCTTCTTTAACATATTGACCTTATATTTCCATCTCCTTGCAGTTGATTTGGATATATATCCATCCTCAGCCCCAGGACCTGCTGAGGTTCTGATGATAGCAGTAGTGATGAAGAGCTGTTCTGTCTTCTGGGGGCATTTGCTGAGGTGGTGGACTATTGCAGGTGACAAGAATGATTTATTCCTTGTACTCACTGTGAAATGGGCTTTATCCTCTTCTTCAGAACCACAAGCTCTGGACTAAAGTGTGTCCCCCAGATTCACTTTTGATCCTCACCCCCAATGCGACTGTACTTGGAGCCAGGACTTCATTAGAGTTAAATGAGGTTGTAGGGTGGCCCTGATCCAGCAGGACTGTGGCTTATTCATAAGGAGAGAAAGAGGCACGAGGACTTTCTCTCTCTATATGTGGACCAAGGAGGAGAGTACCCTGCAAACCAGGAGTTGGCCCCTCACCTAAGCTCGACCTTGTCTCACCAAATCTCAGACTCGCAGCATCCACACCTATCAGAAATAAATGTTGAGTTTTTCAGCTACCTAGTCAGGTATTTTCATGGCAGCAGATGGAAATGAGCCTCATGAATGTAATGCCTGCAATATGGGGAGGGCAGCTTGCACTCACTGGTGGGTACAGGCCCCTGAAGAGATACACAGATGTCCTCCACTCGCTTATTGGCCACTGACAAGCTGGGTGTGAGAGATCAGTTTCTCCAACATGAAGGTGTGTGGCCACTAGGGCTGTATCTAGCCTGAGAAAGTCCTCTTCCTTCCCTTGGGTCCCATGGCTAATTAACTTATAGGTTATTTAGAACTGGCTCTTTTTCATGTTTTAAACCACATGAGCAGGCCAACAATACTTAACCCCAACCACAGAAAAAACAAGAAGTGTCATTACTATGTGTCAGGCTCTGATTAGAAAATGTGTGTACTGATTACATCTACCTGTCTAGCCTGCCCCTGCCCAACACAATCCTGATGTTTTTGCTTCTAACAGCAACTCTCTGAGGTTGTCACTTTTATACCTTTGTATTGCTGTATAAATCCCGTAACATTCACCATTTTAAAATGAACACTTGAGTGGCATTGAGCACATCACAGTGTAGTGGAGCCTCCACATCTATATAGTTCCAAAATATCTTCATCACCCCAGAGGAAAATTCCACCCCCAAAGCAGTTGCTTCTCCTCATCCCTGTGCAAGGCAGCTGACAGCCCCCATTGGCTTTCTGATTTAGAGTTTGCCTGTTCTGGATGTCTCATTTAACTAGAGTCACAATGTATGGCCTTTGTGGTAGGCTTCTTTCACTGAGCATGTTTTTAAGGTTTATCTACACTGCGGCATGTGTTGGAACTTCATTGCTCTTTGATATTCCATTGCAGAGATACTTCACATTTTAAAAAACCCACTTTGGTTGATGGACATTTGTTTCTTGCCCTATCTTTTGGCTGTTGCAAATAGTGCTGCTGTGAAAATTCTTGTATTAGTTTTTGTTTGGACAACTCCTTATAGTTCTGTAGGAGTGAAATTATTGGGCTGTATGGTGATTTTCTGTTTAATATACAAAGGAACCTCCAGACCGTTCTCCTTAGCAGTTATGCCACTTCATCTTCCACAATGAAAGCTGACACCTCATTTTGATAAAGTTTTGGGACATGGAGGAACACTCAGGATAGCAGGAGAACAGTCATTTGGGACAGAGGCAGCTGTGTGACGGCTAGAAGGCCTGCAGGCTCTGCTCCTGCCCTGGTGTGCAGTAATTCTGGGCTCTATTGTGTACCCCATTTGGTTGAACCAACATTCTCTGCCAGTCTGTCTGCCACCTAGCATCTCCCTCACCCTGCACTTCACAGTACCTGTCTCTCAGGGAGTGTTGCATCCAGACCTCACATAAGGGCCTTCAGTGGGCCCAGTGACTAGCTTTCCTGTTTTCTTTGCCCATTTTGGTGGAAACTTGGGAAAATTGGATAGTAAATTGCACATGGTCAGTCCAGCAGCATTCTGTGCTGAAATGTTATCAGTTCCCGTGCCTGGCCTACTGGGGTTGTTCCCCTCCTGTCAGCCAGGAGTCTGCTGACTGTACACAGAACTGTTCTATATAACACAACAGCTTTTGTTACCTTGAACTAGGATGTAAGCTTGTAACATTAAGCTTTTCTGTTATGTCCAGTAGATTATATATTTTGAGCAGGGACATAAAAATATTATTAAGAATAATAACATTAATAATATTAAGAAGTAATTTAGTGTGCTGGGTGGCTAGAAAGTAAATATCAGCGTGGATCAGCTTCAAAACATCCTATTGTCCTAGATAAGGATTCAGTGTCACTAGAAGAGTATAGTTGTTGTAATAGCCATTGGGGGGCAGTGCCTCCCACTGTCATCAGGCTAGAGGAGAAGCCAACTCACCAAGCTCATGAAATGCCCCTGTCCAGACCCAGCAGCCAGATGCCGCCCAACACTGATGAGGTAGCAGTTAGACAGGGAGTAAGGCAGACAGGACCCACATCTTTTCTTGGACTGTGCACTGCTTAACTGGAAGCCACAGCAGAAATTAGTGGACGCAGGATGGGAAAACACTGCCAGCATCTCAGCGGTGTGAGACAGTTTTCTCAGTTGGGGTGTTTAGGAGCTATGTGGATAATTATTGTCAGGAGTGCAGGGGACAGGCAGACAGACAACTGAATCTAGGTTACCTTTAAGGTGTTGAGTAGTTCTTAGGTCATGTGATTATATGAGACATTTTTAGATAGGAAACTCAGTTAAAACACTGTATTCATTTCCTGTGGTAAAATGAACACAATAATTAAAATGAGTTTAAATTTGGTTTTATATTTTTAAAAAATTGGGCGATATTGTAGTTCAGGAGAAAAAAATTCACTATATATAACTCTTAAGAGATTTTTTTGCTCAAAATAGAAGACTAGAGTTAATTGTCCCAGGGTCCTATTCTCTTTTTTCTTTGCCTTTTTTAAAAATTAAGCTTTATAGTAAATTTGAAGAGTAGGTTTCTTTTTAAATATGAGCATTAGTTTTTAAATTTTGATTAAAACAAGTACAGACTTTAGGCTTTGGAGCAACCAGGTCTGCTCCCAAGCCAAAATGACTTGATTTTTATTTTTTTCACTGAAAATCTTTTATGGAAGAGGCCATATATCCACAAACCAAAGGCATCTCCACTCAGGTTAATTAAATGGTGCACTCTGAAAAGAATAAATAAAAAGCAAGCAAGCAAAATAAACCTTTCTATTTGACTGTTGGAAAAAAATGACAAAGAGAAAATCTTAAAAATAACCAGCATTTATATAATGACCTATTGCTGTCTCAGGAGCCTCATCTCTGCCACCCATGTTCCTATGTGCTAACCTTCTGTGCAAGGCACCTCCAGAGGATTCCTGCATCACTGCTTATGCACAGCACCAGCTTTGCTAACTTTCACCCTTCAGTTCTTTTTCATATGGTTTGCACTCTCACCAGGAAAATACAGGATATAGCCTTGCATAATGACTTTTTGTGCAGCCACTTTTCTCCACAATTGCACTTCAAGAGGTCTACCAAGTTTAGGGCAGCAGCATCCTGTCTTCTAAAAACTTTTTATCCCATAATATATTCAATAAGTAAACTATATGGAGTCACATTGCAGGATTATAGTTTCAAAAAGGGATGCACATAATTTCTTTATATAACATTTCCATGAGAACATGGAAGCCACGTGCATTCTTGTATACTATTTAGAAGAGCAAACAGATTTGCTATGCATTTGTACATTTGTGAGAGAGGCTGAAAAGGTGGTATCTTTATGACTCTGTGTCAGTCTTGAGTCTATCCCTATGTTTTGAAGTGTTCTCATGCTTACCTATTACTTTGTTTTAATGATACCTTGCTGAGCTCTAACTCATTGTGTGCCCTTAGAGTGTAAAGTAACCATGGCCTTCAAAAAGATTTAGAGTCGGTGGTGAAAGTGACATACACATGAGAGTGTGTCTTCTAAAGCAGGCTCCCTTGTACACTTTTCTCCAACCAGCACCCTGAGGAGTTGCTTCATGTGTCAGCTTGCTTTTTGTTTTGAATTACTCATTAATGTTTGTCAGCTTATTTTCACTGCTCAATTGACATATTTTTCACCCTGTGAAAGTTACTTATCTCCAGTGGGATTGAATACATCCTAAACTTTCTTTAAAATTAGTGGATACATTTGTTCCTTGTGGTAGGATGCTTGGAACCAGTCCCAGTCCACCAACTGGTAGAAGTGAAGAGTCCTGCTATTGTTCCTCCTCCGGACAGTTGCAAGGTGGTGCCAGACTTACATTTGAGGGAGCCCGTGGGTGTGTAGCTCTATTTTTGGTTTTAATTTGCGTGTCTTTAATTACTACTGGGGCTGAGCACCTTTTTATGTTTTTATTTGCCATTTGGATATCCTCTTGTGAAGGACTTTGAAAAACACTGAGAAGTATTTATCTATTTTCTATTTATTATGTCCATGGCATCTATCAAGGACAGCAAGTGGCTGGCCTAAGATGTTTCCACTACAGTTTTCATGCTAGGAAAAAAAAAAAGTACAGCAAAGTATACAAAATTTGTAGAGGAAAAAAGAGAATTTTCTCCATAATACATTTCAAACACAGAAGACCTTTGGGAAAGTGATTTTTATGAGATTTGTTGAAGATGAGGACGGGAGAAGGGGGAGGTTACAATAAAATGGGCACTGAGCTCAATGCAGTGCACAGGGCAGTGGGAGGTCAGGGTTGAGGACAGGACTTAACAAGGCCTCACAACACAGCTGTACCAGAGGAGGAATGGCAGAGGTGTGCAGGCGCAGAAGGTGCCAGTTAGCTAGTGTCAAGGGCCTAGGGACATCATTTAGAGATTACCCAAATTAGCTGTGTGCCCCAGCAGCTAAGTAGCAGGGAATGTGAATGTGAGTCATCAGCCAGCTCACAGCAGAGGCCATGGCAAGGCGTGCGTGCCCATAACAAGGACTCAGACTCTTTCAGAAATTGGACAGGTTTAAAACATTAAATGATAGGATTACACCTTTTGGTTTTGACCTGTCAAAGGTTGAAACATCTGAGAGGGACTAGTGCCAGCCACAGTGTGAGGAGCGGTGGTCAGCAACTTTGGTGGGAGGTACAATTTGCAGACCTGTGTGGAGAAGCTTCTAGGTGACACCTCTGGGATTAAAAATGCAGAGTATTTCACTTCTTGTGCCAAGGTAGCTCTGAATGTACTGATTCAAAGTAATCTAAGAATCATTGATTGTACAGGATAATACTCCAGGTGTAGGATGAGCCCAAGCACTTCACTTCCACATGCTAGAAAATTTCTAGGTAGACTCACCAGGGAATGCTAGCAGCGCCAGTGAGCTCTCCAATAGTAGAGAGTCCTTTTTCCATTATCTGTTTACTTTTACTCTTTAAAAATCATTTTGGAGGGGAGAAAGGAAGGCAGGGAAGGAAAAGTTTAAAAAATGGGCAAAGAAGGAAAACATGGAAATAAAGCTTTGTAAATGGGGAGGAGGGGAGGGGTTGAAGAGAGGATAGAAGAATGAGGGGGAAAAAACCAAGTTACATCATGTATAGATACAGATTTTATGATGAATGTGATCATTACATGTATCTAAAAATGTACCAATAAAATAAAAGATAAATAAATATCATTTTGAAGGTTTATGAGAATCACCTAAGAAGTAAAGAATTTTAATAGTTGTTACTAAAAGAACTTACATATGTTGCTGCATTCATTACCCCTAATAGTGTGTTAATGTACTTAGTAATTGAGAAACCTGAAATGTGAAGTGAAGTAATTTGCCCAACGTGGGAACCCAGGCAGAGCAGAGAATCTTCTGGCATCAGTGCTGTTCTTAAATGGAAGGAACAGAGTAATAGCCATTAAGGTGCTGTAAATAGCACTGCATCCTAAATTTGTCCTCGCTCTCTGAACGAATTATTAGAAGCCATCTCCTATATGCCTTCACAAGAGTCTGTAGTCTACCCCTGCTGGGGTAGAAAGGACTTGTGCTGGGGCTTTAGGAGACCTGCTGCCACTCTCCCAGTAATGTTTACCTCTGTAGACTTTTCCTCTCCAAGCCTGATCCTCTTCCATAAAAATCATGACAGTAGTGCCTGTTTCTTAACATGGTAGACATTAGGTATAGTGTAATAAACATGAGAGTTCTTGGAAGTAATAAAGTGCTTAAAACTTGTTAGTTTTCCTCCTTTTAAAGACTATACCTGCTTCTACAATCCAGCTTCTGTCTCTGGAATTCAATCCATCAGGTCTGATGGGAGGAGGACTATATTGTATTTCTTTGGAAGCATTTCCTGCTGTCTAAATCTCACCAGGAATCCCCAGAGTACAAGGCATCCCCATTGGCTGGTCACTGGCCACATGTTACCATGCACACATCAGTGGCAGCATTCCAGATGTCCATGAAGTGGGGCCTTTCTCCTTAGTCATGCTTCAGTAACAGACATTGGACTTTGGCTAGGGTCCAGCAACACAGCTCGGCACCTATGACCTGTTCCAGATGTGTTTCTGGACTTGAGACACCAGGGGGGTGGGGCAGACTGTTCTGATAGTGGAGATCAGAATCCTGACCAGAGCAGGCTTTGAGGTGCAGCTCAAATAATATTTGCTGCAAGGGCAGGGCAAGGGCAGGGAGAGGAAGAAGCACCCACAGGGTAGTAGTGTGGCATAAGCATCAGGAGTAGACAACAGGAGGTTATACTAGTGTATACAGCTTCTTTTCTGGGGTACTCAGGGACCTGTGTACAGTGTCTGACAGTTGCTGATTGATGTGGTACCAAACTTGAAGTAACAAAGTTTCCTATGAACCCTCACACTGCAAATGAGGACTAGAAAGGGGTCCAGTGGGATGTGGTCTGTGTGCTTTGGTATTGGCCTTGCCAGGTTCATTGGGTAACATGATGCTTTTCCCTTGCTTTTTGGTAGATGGACAGTGTCTCACCCTCGGGGAGCAGGTGGGCTGGCAGGACAGGCGTCCCCAGGCCGGGAGAAGGAGGCGCTCCCAGGTACTCTTGTCTACCCCTGCTGGTGACCTGCCTGCCCAGCCCCATGCTGTTCCAGATTATGGCCACCTGTGACCCTGCCTGCCTTGATCTGCTTTAATCACCTATGCCCACCATGCCTGCCTGTGCCCAACCTTGGCCCAGATCTCTACCCTCCCTTTTCCCACCTGATTTGAAGCCTATCCTGACTTCTGATTGCTGCCTTTGCTTGTCCATTTCTTTTAAGATTCTTAAGCCTGAATTGCACCTGACTACCTTTACTGTCCTCCTGCTGTGCCCATCATGGACCCCCTCAAAGAGGCAATGTCAAGGATCTCTCAGACGCTGCTGCTTTTCATCTGTTTATTTCTATTAACAGGGTATTTGTAATGAAATGAAAAAATGTTTTATTCCTTAAATAATATCCAGAGTCTTTGATGACTGTTACTCTCATCTACATAGAATGCTTAGAGCTCCAGTACCCTCATGACAATTTTCATCAGGTTAGACACCGTGTGCAGGTAATGAGATATTTCAGAATTAGAGCTGATTCGAAGATAATTCTAAATGAGGCTGGAAGAATTGAATTGCTACCCAAAGCCATCATATTCCTTCAGCCAGCAGGAAGTGAACACATTCCCAGTGCCAGGTTGTTGTCTGGGCTTGGAACAAATCTACCAGTGAGTACCCTAGGGAGTCTGCCCCCAGAGATAGTGCCCAGAGTGGACTCCACACCTGAGAAGACCAGACATTCTTACACAGAGCAAATCAAAGAACAGGGGGCAGCAGGACAGGGTTAGAGATGAGTTGGTATGTATATGTGTGTGTGCAGGAATTGTGTGCACTTATGAATGCACATATGTGAGTTGCATGTGTATGCATGCATGTGTGTGCCAGTACATGTGTGCATGTGTTTGAGTCTTGCATGAATTGCACATGTCTAATAAGTACATGCCTGTGCATTGCCACATGTATGTGTGGGTAGACATGCCTATGTGGCTGTGTCTATGCATGTGTGTGCCTATGAGTATACACATGGATATGCAGGTACATGTTTATGTATGTTTGTGCATGTGTACTAGTTTATGTGCACACATGTGGAGTTGCTCACATACATTTGGACTTCTCAGGGCTGGCTCCTTGAGGGAGTACTCTTAGTGGCTCATGTTGTCTTCTGATTACGTGCAACTGCATGGTCCAGGTGTGGACTTGGCAGTGACATTTTCACAAGGACAATGAGACAAGTTGAGGAAAGGGAGCCAACAATGATCCAGGCAGAGGGATATGAAAAGCTGAAGGAGGTAGAGGGACAGTGGAAAACAGACATCACACCCAGCTTTGTTTCCAGTTGGTGGTAGTCATAGGTTAATCAGTGTCAAAGTAAGATAAAGCCAATAAATTTTAAAAAACATATAACTACCTTTTCAAGTTAGAGAATAGTACTTGGTTTCTATGGTAACTTCCAGCTGTTTAACTGAACAGCAAATGTTATGTAGTGGCACAGGGTAATTACAGACAACAGATAAATTGTAGAGTAGTCTTCAAGAAATACAGAGCAACTATACAGTTAGGTTTTGCTCCTGAAGGTGATGCACAGTTCATCTCCAGGCCAGAGCTGCATGCAGGATCTGGGCCTGTGCCCAGTCACCAGTCATCAGCTCCAGGGAAATGCCTGCTCCTAGCCCACAGCCTTTCCTTGTGCCTGTCACAAAAGTGTGAGACCTGCTTTTGCTCTGTTCTTGGATTTCAAGTGAGCTGGCCTCTATGAACCCTTTCCCGGGCTAGGCTGGGAGGCAGGTGCAGACCTGTCTAAGGCTCCAGGGCACACATATCATCAACCTGGATTCACGAAGGTATTCCTAGCCTAAAATGCAGCACACACACATATTACTCTGGAATTGTAACAGTGTGATAATTGAGGACAGTCATTTGCTCTCACTCTGTGCCAGGATCCCTGGAAAATATAGAATTAAAACACAGCTACAACAAAAATTCCTAACTATAATCAGAGGACCAGATGTTTTGACTAATGATTAAGAGACAGAAACAGATAATGTTTGTGGAATCAAAATAGCCCAGAAGATATGCAGGGAGGCCTAATGTACATAAGAATAAGAGCCCAAGGTAGGTATGGTAGTGTGCACCTGTAATTGCAGCACTCAAGTTTGAGCTCAGCCTGGGCAACTTAGTGACTTAGTGAGAACCTGTCTCAAAATAAAAAAGGAATGATGATGTTGCTATTAAGAAGGCATCAGGCCCTAGTTTCATTACCCAGTACTGAGAGAGAGAGAGAGAGAGAGAGAGAGAGAGAGAGAGAGAGGGAGAGAGAGAGAGAAATGAGAACAATGATATAAGGCAGAGTGAGTTGAGAAGTAGGAGAGGATATAGATAACCACTTCCTAGAGGGTCTGTGGCAAGCTTCAGAGATGTGCGCATCCAACTTATGTGGAAAAAGTCAAATGTAGACTTTAGGCATTGTGTTCAGGAATTGTGTTCAACCAGCTACAATTCATAGAGAGACAGGGAGCCATTTCCAGAAGACAAAATGTTGGCAGGTATAGTCCAAAGACTCCCCATCTCTCCTCCCCTGAAAAACCAGAGGCAATCCAAGGTAGACAGATGTGACCTTTGGGAAAAACCAGCCAGGCCTCTGCAAAGCATATGGACATGGCTGGGAGCCACACACATTTTAGGAAAACCAACAACAGGACAAAGACACACCAAACCAAAGAAGGATGCTCAAGGAGCAGAGTTAAAGACACAATGAGAAAATGACTTGGGTCTGAGAAGACATTGATTGAAAGTAGTGTCCAAGGACTTTGGAAAGTAAGGGCTGGTAAAATAGAATAAGCAGGAAGGCTTGATTCACAGAATGTATGAAAATGAATAAGGAGTCTGTTACTAGATGAAGAAGTCAAGGACTGTCTCAAATTGTACACCTATAGAATCTAGAGCTAATCCAGACCACAAATATATAGGACCTGATAGCTCTTCCAGAACACACACTTAGAAAGATCAAGGCTTTTCTGGAATGCAGAGGTAAAGGACTATGGACTATGAAGGCCTACAGGAGTGATATATGGAGAGAATGAGGGCGAAAAAACTGAGATTGAAAGTGATTTTGAAAAGCCCCATATTCTAGCGAAAATGTTCTAGAAGAATATTTCCCAAAGCACAGAATGCATCAGAGACCTGGCCAGTTTTGAACAGGGAAAGGAGCAAACCCAATTGTAGGACTCATCAGGATGAATTTCAGGATGCTTCTGATAAGGAGGAAACCTAGTAGTGTCCAGTAGGGTGGATGGGAGATGGGGGACTCTCTTTAGTTACTTTTTCATTGCTGGGTTACCCATGAATTAAAAGAGATGGGAGGTATTATAGCTCACAGTTCGTAGAGGTTTCCATCTGTGGCTACAAGGTCTCTGCATGGCAGAGGAGAAACAGTTCCATGGAAGAGCAGGCAGAAAGCAATGAGTTTGGCTTTTGTCTTTCCCTATATATTCCATCTAGACCACAAGCCTATTGGTTGGTACCACTCCCACTCAGGGTGGGGCTTCCCATTAGCCTACTCAGAACTATTCAATCAGTAAGCTAATCTAGTTATCACACACTCTTAATCCATATTCACATACCTTATATCCACTGCCTCTGTAAAGCCTCACTTATGAATGCATGAAGCTTTGAGGGGACATCCAGATACAAGGGACCAAATTAGCTTTTCTACAAAGGCCTGGCCACCAGCACACAACTAACTTGATGACAAAATCTTTTCTGGGTTTAACTGAAACTTTATCTTCAGAGTACTTGTGAGAGAAATGATTCCAAATCTAGAATTTTGAGCATAGTCAGACCAGAATGTAAGTCTGAGGGGAATAGTCTAGTCTCAGAAGTTCCTGGCCTCATCCCTGACACTATGCCAAAGTGGAAAAAAGACAATTATCTATAGTAGGGCCATTTTTTGATTCCAAAAGTAATGATGAGGAAAGCATCCAGTATAATATGAATTCATCTGAATGTTGTTGCATATTGGTGTGCAAACTAATGTAGTATTAGAAGTCAGAATCTCATACATGCATTTAGATAGCAATGAAAAGGAGCACAATGAAAGTTTACTAAACTTCAAGTCTTCTTTGATGGAGAGGGTCTATGGTATGAAAATGTACATTTAATGCATTAATGATTCACAGGGAACCACAGAGGAATGGGAACAGGTTGCATCATTTCATACCTTGTGGAGAAAAATGCTGGCATTAAGAAAATCTCATCAAAGGATAGAGAGAGAAAGAGGAAAAATTAGAAATTGTAGGAAATATGTAAGGCAAGACATTAGGTAGGCACTAGTTTTATAATGTGGGTTGAATTTCTATACTAAAATGCAGAACTCAGTCTTTAAAATGAGCTAAAACAGAAAATCTGTTTGTGGGAAAGACACTAGGCAAATGGTAACCACCAGAAAGCAGATCTGGCAATGTTATTTTAAAGGAAAATATTAAAGAAATAAAGTAAAAATGCTTCAATTCTGTGATAAATTATTCCCCAAGAAGATCGGATCATCAAAGACTTTCATGTATGTAATTACACAGCTGTGAAATTTATGTGGGGAGAAATTCTAAGGACAGGAGGTGGACCAAACAAGTACTACAGTGGGAAACCTCTATGGATAAGTCAAAATGACCGAAAAGTCATGGTTACAAGAGGTTTGGATGGCATTCTTACCAATCTGTTTTCAGCAGGGAGTACTCCTTCCTCCCTCCTTCCCTTCATCCCCCCTTTCTCCTTCTCTACTTTTCTTCCTTTTTCAAACACACCAGAACTTTTCACAATATACCTGCCATGTATATTTTTGAATATTAATATTAATATTCAAAAGCAGAAAGTATAATGTGCAATAAAGTAGAAGAGGACAACAAAATGATAGCCAAAAGTAATCCAGACTCCATTTTATACTTAGAAATTTTGGAGTTCTTTTAAAGCACCTACTGTTTAAAAAACAGTGAGAGAAAGCATCTCCTGTCAATGTCTGG